CAGCACCGCCGCGCCCGACCGGCGCCTCCGAGCCCGGCCCGCGCGGCGGGGAGGGGGCGCCGCGAACGCGCTCGTCGCGCCCGCCGTGCCCCCAGCTGCTGCGACCCCCTTGCCGCGGGGACTCTGTGATGGTCGCTGCTCTCCCGGGGTCTCGGGGCCGACCCTGGTTTCTCATCAGGAGTTTTCCCGTCTCCTTTCCCGAGGTGCTCGCTGGCGGCTTTGCCCTGTCCCGTTCTCCCCGGCAGCCGTGCCAGGGGCCAGCCCGGTGCCAGCCGCACCTCACGGCACTCTCGGGCTGCTCGGCCGGGCTTCGTGTGCCACAGCATGCGCTCCTCGCCCTCATGCTCTATGCTTCAGGGCCGCGGCTCACATGAGGCAGCCCGGAGGGAGACTTTTATTAATAACACTGTCCTGTTTCCTCTTCCCTGTGGGAACAAGGAAAGGGGAGAAAACAGTGGTGTGGTGTGGGGCCAGGAGGGACATCGCGAATCACCTTCCTGCGAGAGATCAAGGCAGGGCAAGGCTGCCTGGCAGAGGTTCTCCTGAAGCAGATGGTTTCTTCACAGGGCACAGAGATACACTGGGACCTGCCGGCCACCCCAGGAGAGGGGGTGCCTCTGAGTGGAATCTCTCCTCCTTGGAGCCCTGGGATGAGCTGAACCCCACTTGCTCTTGCACGGAATCCCTCAATGCCAGCCAGGCCGTGCTGAAGTTACCACCATTCCCATCCTGCTGGTGAGCCCTTCCCATGAGGATTGGCACATCAGCTCTGTACCAGGGCCCAAAAGCAATGCCCGTGTGCCACAATGGGAACTGGTGACACCCCCAGAGTACCATCTGTTGTCCCCAGAGATAATTTAATCCCTTTTCCACACTACCAGGGATGGCTTTTAGCACCCTTCCCACAAGAACAGAGCTGATCCTGAGGTTTTACCTGCCCTATTTGCTCTCAGCTCTGCCTCATCTACTCAAGTCCTCCCCCATCAGTGTGTGTGGACATTGCTAATAATTTCTAGTACATTTCCTTGCTCTCTTGCCACAGCTGGCCTGGAAGTGGGGTCCACACTCCTCCAAGGTGGGCTTGCAGAAGGAGACAAGGCTTTCCCAACTTTTGCAGTCTCTGCCTGCCTGGCACTGCGGCTTCATGGAGAGCTTTGTAAGACTAAAAAAAAGGGGCCTCTCTTTTTGCCACGGGTTGTTCGGTTGTTCACAGTCGTTCATCCTGTTAAAACGGCACTTAAAGAAAACAAAAAGCAGTTCCAAAAATAAAGCCTTGAGACAGATGGGGCCATTCAGTGCTAGTTTTTGATTATATCTCCCATTTGTTGGCCTGCCTCCCCCACACCTCTGTGGGCCTAGGGAGCTGTGTCCCACCTGGAGCTGTATGGACCCGCAGGTGAAACACATTAGCCGGGTGCTTCTGCTAATGGGCTCATCAGCGGAGCAATTAGCAGTGCTTCCGGGGGGGCTGCAGTTATTGTTTCTGGCCTGGAGTTATTGTTAATGGCCCCTGCATCCCACAGCTAGCACAGAGCAAAGGGAAAAGGCTGGAAGGCTGAGTCAAGTACCAGGTCCGTCATTGAGTCCTGTACTGGGACTGTGCCCAGATCTGACCACCAGGGTCCTGCCTCGCCAGGACACAGGGAGTATCGAGGGAATCAGGGAAAGCCAGCAGTGATGGGGAGCCCAGTGCTTCTGTGCCCTGGAACTCTGGCATCACCGTCCTGTCACTGCAACACCATCACCCACCTCCAGCTGTCCTAGATTCCAGGGATGTCCAGAGTGATCTGCCACCAAGCAGCTGGGGGAGAGATGTGCCCCCAGATTTAGCCCTGTCAGGAGGGCCCCCTCCAGGCCAGCTCCTCACCCACCTGAGGAAGGATGCACCTCATGCCCTTTACCCCTGCCCTGGCCGCCAGGCATGACCCAAGGTGGCCCCAGGCCAGAGGTGTGCGTGCCTTCTGACCAGGGCTCAGGGTGTGTGTGTCTCCCAGCCTGGCACCAGCGGAGGAGGACAAGTGCAAACACTGTGGCCAGTGGGGCAGGAGAAGGTTATCTGGGGCCCGGCAGTGGAAAAACTCTCGGTGTGTGACTAAGGCACAACAGCGCCAGGTGTGGGTCCAGGCAGGGCAAGGGAGCCAGGAGTTATCGCTTCCCCGTGGGTTCAGGTGCCTGAAGCCAAATGTTTCCTAAGGGTGCGGTGACAGCCACAGCCCCGTTATCGTGGCACCTGGCCCACCCCAAGCAGCACGGACACGGGGACAGGTTGCTGGACCTTCCCCCCATGGCAGAGATGGGGCACTTCCCACTGCTCCTCCAATGGGAAACTCAAGCCCTGGGAGCAAACTTCAGCAGGGACACCTTGGTCCTAAGGATCCAAGCTCTGGCCTCACAGTGAGGAATGGTCTGTGTCAGCCTGTCCAAGCACCCCCAAATTATCCTCCCACCCTAGAGCACCCAGGCTGCATCCCACCCACAGCACTCTGGTCCCCTCCCCAGCTCTGTGCTGTCCCCATGGACCACAGCATGCTGAAGGTCAAGCCCTGGCTAAGGAACCCTCGGATCTGCAACACTCCTCCCTATGGATCAACAATCCCAGACCAGCTGTGGGACCTGTTAGCTGTAGCATGGGGGATCCCCATGAGCTGGGTCATCCCCAGACAACAGAAACCCACTCAAGCTTCTCTTTCACCCCTCTCCAGCTCTGAAGACCCCAGGGCACTGCTCCAACTGGCAGGTGCCAGGCCATACTGCGGCCATGACTCACACTTCTGCTGGGAGTTATTTCTCCATACCTTGCTCCTTCCTTTATTCCCTTGCCTCCTCATTGGACCAGGTCAGCTGTACCCCAAAACCATGGGGCTTAAGAGTTACAGAAGTTTCGGGGAGCTCTGCACAGTTCCCAGGGTCCTTTTTGACAGGAAGTGACCAAGGTGAAAAAGGAAGGGAGGGAGACATGGCCTAGCTTAGGGTTCTCCAGCTGACTGCAGGTGCACGCACCACAGGGATTGCACCCCAGCCGTGCCTCCCTCAGTGCTGCCAAAGGTGTTTTCTTGCTGCCCTCATCACTTTGCAGGGCAGGTTTTGCTGGGGACAGGACTGGCCTCCCTTCTCCAATAGAGAGTGTATCTTGGCCCAGGCAATTGGAAGAGGGTGTTTTTTATTAACAACAAATTAACCGTAATTGTCTTTTCCACTACAGCCACTCCTCCCCAGCCATGCAATGGTGATTCCCAGTATTGCTGGTCCATTTGACTGCCGTGCCCCATCATGTGCCTAAAGGAGTGCCTTGCCCCAGGCACAGGGGAGCAAACCCAGAGCAGCTCTGTTTGGAGGAGCCAAAGCACCTTCCCCTGCTCTCGCCTCCCCGTGTAGGCACTGGCAGCAGAGCCGGACCTCACTCCTGCCCTGGCACAGCAATGATGAAAGGCGAGAAAGAACTGGTTTGTGCTCTGATCTCAGAGCTGAACCTCAAAACAGCCGTGAACCGTCACTCCAGCTCCCAGGATGCTTAGGGAGGACAGGACAGCAGAGCCAGCCTTTCCAGTGAGACAGGATGGTTGGAGAAATTCATCGTTCCCCTGGAAATAAAAATAATAATCATAATAAAAACACAAAGCCAGAGATTACTTATACGCACACAAACACGCAGGCACGCACTCTCCCCATCTGGCTTTGCCAGCCTGACTCATCGCTAATTCAAACAGCCCACACCTTTCCCTCTCCCTCCATGTGACGTTTTGAACAAGTTTCCAGGGAAGAGGCAGAAGTTTTGCCCCAGCTATCCCCTACCATTGTAACTTTGTCCTTGGGTTCTGGTGGTCCCAGGAAAAAGACACCCCCAGTACCTCATGCAGGCCACATGTGTCCCAGCACAGTCACCCCTGCACAAGCACCTCTCAGAAAGTGGGGCAAGCAGAGGGTGGAGACAGCAGTGGAAAGGACAAGTGATTGAGCCTGACGGATCTGTGACACCTGTGGATGCAGCCCCGTGGTCCGATCTCAGGCCTACAGGCAGAACATGATGTCCCAAGCTGCTGCCACTCTGCCTGGAATCACCCATGCTTTTGTAGCTGCTCAAGGGCAGACCACAAGGGTGGGTGCTGGTCCCAGAACAAAGAGCCCAACACCAAAATATTAGCCACTCCTCAGGGGAGCATCAGACCTGCTCTGCCATTCCCATCTGAGTGGGATCAGCCCAGCTACATCCCACTTCCACTTGCAGGGCAAGCAGCCCCAGGACACCCTCCAGCCCTGACCAGCTGCTGGGGGTTGCAGAAATGAGCAGGAGGAGGGAGCCACTGCCACCACCACCCTGGGCCAGGGCATCATACAGCTTGTGTGCTCCCTGCACTGCCAGCATGGTGTCAGGTCTGGACAAGTTCCTGCCTTCAGAGGGATTCGTGCATCACTGGTAATCAGCTGTGGGAGGGAGGGAGGGATGGAGCCAGACCTGCTTGCTGAGCTCCGGGACCTGCCAGCATGCTTGTGCTGAGTCACCACCTATTAACGCAGGGAAACCTCAGCACCTGAACCCTGCCAAGCTGCCAGGCCATCCCCAGGAGGACAGCAGAGACAGCACCCAGGACCAGCCAGCTGACACCAACTTCCCTGCTGGTTGTGACCACAAGGCCAGTACTCCCACTGTGAGGCACAGCAGGACAGGACTGCTCAGGAAGAATTCAGGACCAGCAAGGCTCTCAGTTGAGTTTCGGCTGCCATTCTCCTCGGAGATGACTCACCGCAGGACCAGTCACACCATCCCAGTGCCGCAATTGCCCCATCTGCAGATTAGGGAAACTGAGGCACAGGGAAGTGAGGTGACTCAAGAGCTGTTGCACAGGAGATGCTACTCAGATGCCGAGGCTTGGGCGTTCCCCATCGATCCTCCGCAGCTAACTTAAGCAGAAATGAACATCGATGTAAATATTTACTGACAAACAAGCTCAGCCTCACCCTCTCCTCTTAGAAGAAACCTTTAAAGTAAACTCTCCTGGCTCTTTCATGTTTACATCTTGTTTATTTATTATACAGCAGATCACAATATTTCAACAGTTTGCATATAAAGAAAAGTAACATTTCAGAGTGCAAGAGACCTAACGTGCCCAAGCAGAGAAATGTTAATTAACAATATACACAGACGGGAACAGTGCACTTCCCAAAGCTGAGACTCATCTGTGTTCCCAGCTCGAAGAAAATATATTAAAAAAACCAGAAACATTATATATTACTGCTTTGTTTAATTTACAACTTGCTTTGCAGAAGCTGCACATAAAAAGACTCATTTTCTTTTGAGCTTTCTTTTTGTCCCCTCCCTCTACAAAAATTTCAAGTATAGCAGAGACCTGGGCATTCATAGCTGGACTCACTGTCCTTTACATACTAAATTTTAAAAAGCAGCATGGGGAAGGCAGCTGCAGCAGTACCTGGTGTCATCCTGAGGGGAAGAACAAGACAAAATAAAGCAGACAAGAGCCAGGAGAGACATTTTAGGCTCTTGAGTGGAAAACTGGGAATGGCCAGGGGGGTCCCAGGCTGGTGACAGGAGCATCCCTGTCCTCTGTGCAAGGTGACGCTGTGCTGCCAACACCTGCAAACCTTTATAGCCATGAGCCAGTCAAATCCCACCTTCACCCCATCCACTCTGGGCTTTGGGTCAGGTTTGTTCTGATGATCACAACCGAGACAACCAGCAACCCATTTCCCAGCACCACAACCAACGTGCCCAACTGGCATGGCTCTCCAGCCAAAAAGCAGCGAGAGTCAGCCACCACAGCCCCTAGAGCCAGGGGGGTGCCAGAATCTGGGGGAAGAAGATTAAGCTGATGCCAAATACAAGCCAGGAGTTCTGGGGACAGATCCCTTATGCACCAGCTCCACCACTCACTGGGTACCTGGCTGGGGGGAACTCTCCAGGCATGGGGAGCTGAGTGGTGATGACTGGGCAGATGTTTCTTGCAGTTTTGCTCCCCACATACATCCCCAAAGCAGCCCTTCCCCACCACTTGGCTGGGCCAGCTCTCACAGGAGCAGGAGGAGAAAACTAGTTATCAACTACAAGCAGAGGGGGCTGGGTGGCCAGGCTGCTCCCCACTGCCATCCCTGGCCCGACACTATTTACACCGTGAGCTAGCTCCGGGGACATCGAGTCCGGCCGCAGCCACTGCTCACATGTGCCGCTTCATGTGGAGAGCGAGGTGGTCTGAGCGGGAGAAAGCCCGCTCGCAGAGGTGGCACTGGAACGGCCGGTGCCCTGTGTGCTTGCGGTAGTGGCGGGTCAGCTCATCGGAGCGGGCGAATTTCCAGCCACATCCTTCCCAGGTGCAGTGGTAGGGCTTCTCGCCTGCAAAGGAGAGGGGGTGTCAGTGGGCTTGTAGGTTCCCACCCTCCCTGTGCCTTCAGTTCTGTGCTACCCTACCCAGCACCCCCTCTTCCAGAAGATGGGAGGCCCATTGCGCACCTCTGCCTGCCCAACTTTCCCCTTCTGTCCCCCATTTTTCTGCCCTTCCCCATGTGCCAAGGTCTGTTTCCTGAGCACCCCTGCCCCACTACAGCACCCCTGCTTCACTTTAAACTGTGGCTGGTGCCCTGCTCATCCCTGCTATGGGCTGGCACCATGTGCCCTGTCCCAGCTCGGCCAGAGGGTCTCACCGTACAACCCCCAGTCTGTCTCCCTATTCTGTTTGTCCCTAGCCCAGGTGGAGGGTTTCTCCATTACCCTAAGTCCTACCACCTCAGGCACCCCAGGGCCCCAAAACCAGCAACTGGAGGTGCCACAAGAGTGGTCTCACTACATGCCAGGTCCCTACGTGTCCCTGCCCAGCACCACCAAGGGGGTCCTTCCGAGCACTTCGGGGGCCATCCCCATTGCCCCCTGCCTACACGCAGAACACCTCCAATAGGGCTGTCTCTGGGTGCCCTCACACAGCCCCACCACAGGACCCACCGTGCACTCCCTGACACACCGCAGGGGTCTTCCCCACGCGACACGCCCCCCACTGCCGGTGTCACCTCCCGCGACGCCCCCGCACACCCCCGGAACCTCGCTCGCGGTCTCACCACGTGCCGCGGTACCCGCGCCCGGGACCCTCCGTGTGTGTCCCCGCCCCGGCGCGCCCTTACCCGTGTGGGTCCGCATGTGCGCCTTGAGGTGCGAGCTCTTGGTGTAGGTCTTGCCGCAGCCCGGGTATTCACAGTTGTGCGTGGCCGTTCGCTTGCGCGCCCATGAGCGGCGGCCGCGCTTGGGCTTGCAGTCCTCGGGGGGAGCCCCGGTCGGGAAGTACTCCAGCACCGGGGAGTTGGGCGGCGTGACCAGCAGCCCGGGCAGCCCCGCCGGGCCCGGGCCCGGCCCCTTCAGGGGCTCCCTGTAAACACTGAAATGTCCATGAAACTGCGGTGGCGGCTGGGGGGCGAAGTGGGGCGCATAGCGGTGCGGGGCCACGGCGTAGTGGGGCGGCAGGTCGGCCAAGAGGTGGGGATCGGCGCCAGGCAGCGGCTCCTCGGGGGGCCCCAAGCGGCCGTGGGGGAAGCCCGGGTAGGGCAGCGGCGGCCCCGGCACCGGTCCCGGCCCGGGACCCGGCGCCACGCGTGGCTTGTGCTCGCCGCCGCCCGGTCCCAGGTACTCGGCGGCAGACATCCCCAGCATGCAGGCGCGTTCCTCCGGCTGCTCCTTCTTGATGCGGGGTCCGAAGGACTGCGCGGGGTCCAGGGGCAGTGGGCGGGCTAGGGCTGGGTGGAGGGGCGGGTGGTGATGGGGGTGAGGGTGGTGATGGGGCCCGCCGGGCACCCGCAGCTCCGTGTACTCCCTCCGCTGCGGGTCGTAGTGGCCGGGCAGGTCCGGGGTGAGCAGCTCAGCCACGTAGCTGTGGCCCTGGCCCTCGGGGTAAGGCGCAGGGAACTTGCCCGGCGTGGAGTACGAGCCGTCGCTGTCGTAGGTGGTGCCACAGCTCTCGGGGGTCTCGGGCAGGGGGTAGTTGGGGCCGGTCGGCCCCTGCCCGCCACTGCTGGTGTGCGCCAGGATGAAGTCCAAGTCCACGAACTTGCCCAAGTCATCCTCCTCCCGCTTGACGGCAGCGGGGCCATCCTGTTGTAGCATCCTCTGAGGGAAAATGAAGCGTCAGGATCGGCGGGGAGACGGTTGCGGCGGCACCCGCCGCCCCAACACCGCGGCCCGCGCCTCCCGCTCGGGGCGGCGGCTCCCCCCAACCCGTCCGACGGGTCGGCACCACTCCGGCTGCGCTGCGCCGCCCTCGGGGCGCCCTCCGACGGCGAGAAGGCGGCCCGCCCCCCACTCCATGGCCGGGCTGAGCCCCCGCCCGGAACGCTCTGTCCCGTACCCACCTTGCCACCCTCTCCCCGGTGCCTGGTGCTTACGTGGAGCATGTCGGCGGGCCGCTCCTCTAGCGGCATCAAGTTGGCGAAAGTGGAGATAGAGGGCAGGGCGCTCTCGTCCACGGCCGCCGCCATGGCGAGCCGGGCCGAGGCAGCGGGGCCGGGGCGGGCTGGGGGAGCGCGGTGCGCGGAGCCCGGCACCGCTCCGCTCCGCTCCGCTCCCCGTGGCAGCAGCGCTGCTCTGCGCCGCCCCGCGCCCCTAAGCTGTTAACAGCATGGCTGCGCCCCGATTGGTCCGGTCGGCATTGATATTCACCGCCGCCACTTACCATTGGCTCTGCTGTAGCCTGAGCCACGCCCCCTCCGGCGGGGCTGCCCCGGCGGGCGGGGGTCGGCGGTTGCCACTGCCCCGACCGCGCTCGGAGCCCGCGCGGGACGGGACGGGGCAGAGCGGCGGGGTCTCCACGTCCCGGTTTCCGCGTCCCGCTTTGCCCTGCTCTGCGAGACTGTCCCACGGGGGAGAAGAGACAAGGGTGCTGTTGTGGATCGCGGAGGCCAGAATCCTGCCCGCGACGTGAACGGGACAGCGGCGCCCTTAAGGCTTGCCCACACTACGAGCGGGGAGGGGGGCTGTAGGTGGCAGAGCAGGAGGTCCCCCGGCACCTTGTCCCGAGTAGGGCAGGGGCAATGGCTCTGTTACAGGCACCCTGTGTGGAGGCAGAGAGTGCCAGAGAGGTCTGGCGCAGGGGTACATACAGGTAAAAGCATTTTAGCCACTGTGCCGGGCACTACACTCGTCACCGGGGCCCCGAGCGCGTCAGCGAGCGAAGGTGCAGTCCCAAAAAGGTGTGCTTGTGCCTCCATAGGAGATGAACCTGAAAGCCGAGCCTCGGTACCCCCACACCCCCACTCGAATCGTTTCATGTAAGCGCACCCGTGAAGCCGCGTCCTCCCGCGCCGCTGCTGCCGGTGAGGCAATCAGCAGCACAGAGCGTACCAGCTCGCATCTGGCTGCGTGCAGGGTGCGTGTGTGAGCCGAGATAACTGCTCCTCGACCCTGTCGGGGGCTGGCACCCTGCCAACATTGCCTCATCTCGCCCCACAGCCCCCGCAACACGTTTGTCTGCCCTCCCTAGGAACCAGTGCTGTGGGTGAGACTCCGACCGCCCTGGCACAGGGGGACATGGGCCGGCTGTCCCACCCTGCCCACCCTGAGCAGCCCCTGGGAGAGCGCTGTCCCGAAGGCTTCCCATGGCAGGGGACACAAGGACAGCAGGTTATCCCACTTTGCAGGAGACACTCAAGTCACCCACCCTGTTCTAGCTAGTTGGATGATGGTGCAGAGACTCAGGGCACTGGGCAGGCCTCCCCGGGGGCTCTCTGTCTCCTTGTCCGGCTCACACAGCAAGATCTTCTCTGTTTGGCCCCCATCCAACCAGTACCAGGAATGGCCCTGCTGCTGTTGCGCTCAAGAAGCAATGTCCCTTATCTCTTGGAGCCTGTCTCCCTGCTTTCTGGAGCTGTCCATCTCTAGATACCTTTCTAAGAACTGAGGCTGTTGCCTGCTCTATTCAGAAGCAAGGAGTCAATTTAAAAAAAAACAAATATAAACACCAAAGGTGAGGTGTGCACACACACCACACGCACATGCCGCTTCTGAATCCAAAGCTACTCTACCAGTTGCTTTCATCACCGTGCTTTAATTATAAGGGTGGAGCATTGCAATAAATTATTTCAGTAATCCAGTGGAACAACAACAATTCAGATCTTCCCCCTTTTACCAAGAATCCCTGCCCTGGTTTCCAGAGCACATTTTGGGCTGCTGCCTGGGCCCCATCTGCTTGTCTGCTGGCAAGGCAGCAGGTTTATTAATGGCACCTATTGGGTCAAAACACATGGGCTCCAAAGTCCTTCCTCGGAAAAAGTCACCTCCAAAGTGGCAAAGAAGCATGTAGGCATTAGTTGAAATTACTTTTAGCTTGCCTCCCAGAGTAGTTTATTCAAGTCACCAGTTAATCCCATTACTTGTTCCTTTGCCAAATAATAATTAATAGCAAGGCAGTTCCTGCCCCAAACTTTTTCAGATAAGTGAGAGAAGATGCCATAGGAGACAGACTAATTCCTTTTGGTTTTCCCCTTTTACAGGCAGTTTTGGCATTGCACCCATGCTGACTTATTTTGAGAGGCGTTGCCAACAGATCAGCTTAATTTTTACAGCCAATATTTCTTGCAAATGTGGGATATTCCCCAGGAAACTCTTTTTACTGATGCTCCGGTGGGAGGGCCAGCGTGGTGGGGAGCGGCAGCATGCCAGGCACCACAGCAACACAGGCACTGCCAGCGCTGAGTGTGCAGGGAGCCAGCAGTGCGTCATGGGCAGGGCTTTCCTGCTCTGAGCCATGGGGTGGGCACAGGGGGTCCCTGCCACAGCTTTGTCAGCTCCTGGGCCACAGAAGCCCCCTCTGAGGTGAGTGGGAGGCAAGCAGGAGCAGACAGTGCACGCACAGCTCGCTGTTGACAGAAGCCCATTTAGGAAACATGGGTTATCTCCCGCGCCACTACGGCAGACTGTAAAGTCACTGGCATCTCAAGAGATCAAACAGCAGCCAGGCAAGAGAGCAAACAGAAAGTGGGAAGGGCCACCCACCCAGGTGATGGCTAAAGAGGAAAGGGTTAATGGTTATCCTTGCTTTTGACACATCTGGCAGCAGAGGAATGAGGAGAGTGGCTTGCCCAGCGCGGTGTGCCAGAGGTGGCCCTGTCAAAACAAGAGCAATTGTCAACCCTGCCAACACTTCCACAGTGCCATGGCACCCTCTCCAATGGCACAGAGCAGAGGTGGGATGGGCAGGAGGACAATACCCTGTGGCACTGCCAGAGGTGGAATTGGTGCCCAGGTTGCTCAGCAGGGCTCCCAGGAGACCCAGAGGGGTCCCCTACCCCACAAAACATTGGGGACTGAAAAACACCTGCCCTGCACCCTTTTCTGTGCTGTCACCCGGAGTTGGGAGACTGGAGTAAACCCAAGGACTCTCCTTCAGAGCATCTCCAGTGCCTCCTCTCCAACACCACCTACAGCATCACAGCCCAGAGAGCTTCTGCTTCGGTGGGAGGCAAAACCCAAGTCCCAAAAGCTCCACAGGGGGACCCCATGAGAGCTGCCAGGGAGATCCACACCACAGAACACCCTAAACAACTGTGACACTTCAGGGTTATATCCCTGAGAGCAAAAAATGAACCTGACTGGGTTTTACTTTCTGTCTTCCCCTCTGCATGGTACTGGCCTGCCTAGAGAAGGGCCCAGGAGCCCCCAGACCTGCCTGTACCCCCAAAGCCCCCTTCCCCTCCTGAAAAGAAAAGAGGAACTGAAAATGAAATTAAAGCATAATTCAATCCGGAGCGGGTCCAGAGTAAAGTCATCTGCTCTTATCGTGTGCTGGCAGGCTCTTCCCGCTCCGCAACAAACACAATGTTATCAGGGCACAGAGGGCAGATTCGTTTGCACCGGCCCAGCAAGCTGCTGTGTCCGCCCTGCCTACCCTGGGGTCTGGGGAGCACCGGGATGCATGGCCAAGGACCAGGGCTGCCAGGGGCTCGGGGAGACCCGAGGCAGCACCCCGGCAGCACCGACAGGGAGCTCCCTCCCAGGACAGGGTGCTTTGGCTGGAGGCCATATCCAGCCTCCCTGCGCAGCTCTCTGGCCACGGGAGACGGGTCAGGTTGCTCCCAGTGAATGTCAGCACAGAGTAAAGGCTACAGAGGGACAGGGTCCATGAGAGATGTCTTTGCCTACGGGAATATACACGGCCTCATCTTACATGGGTGCTGCCCAGCTGCTTGGCCAGGAGGCTGCCGAGCTGGCAGATCTTGGCATCCCACCCCTGGCAGAACAGCCCAGCGGCACCCCCAGACCCTGAACACAGTCCCAGCCCCACTGCATCGCCTGGACCGCATCCTGCTTTGATCTCTGCCTGCTGCCTGGCTGTGCCCTGGTGGCTGCGGGGCCAGTGCAGCCCTCTCCGTCCTTCTTTATATACCCCTGTTATTTTTAACTCTGCCTACGCAAATCCCGAATCCGGAATGAGCAGCGGCCGGGGGCCAAGGGGAAATGGACATGGTGCAAATTTCCTGCCCTTTTTACCTCTCTTCCTCTATAACATACAGCAACGTTTTTCCTCCACTTCTTAACTTTCACTGGTCCAGGAAAGCTGAAAGCTCCAAGCTTTGCATAGAGCCACAAGGTCCAGCACCACAGCGGACAGGGTATCCCTCTTGGAAGGGACATCGCGCTCAGCATGGTGCCAGGAGCTGTCCCTCCCCACAGCACACAGCACAGGTTCCATCAGCACTGCGATGCGCTGGAGGCATCCGGGCAGCCCTCGCAGCAGCAGCCTCACGTGCAAACACGTGTGCTCACGTGCCAGCCCAGGGGCCCATCCTTCCTTCCCTCTGGCCCGGCAAGAGCTCTGGCCCCAGCCACAGCAGCTGGGACTGGACCACAGCCATGGGAGCCGTTCCCTTTTGCCACTCACCAAAGTGCTGGACAAGACCTGTGACACCCCAGCAACTCCAGGAGTAACAGCAGGAATTGTTGTTTTCCTTGTGAGCAACAAGGAGGAGGAACACAAGATATTTTTCCAACATTTCTGGCTTAATCTTTAAAAAAAAGCCAGGACACAGAGTGCCACAGCAAGTTGCACAGGGAGTTTTGCAGAGGATATCATGGTATGGCTGCAGTGCCCATGGGATGTGCATGTTAGAACCCTTCTTTCACATGCTGGAGATTAATAGCTGTACATCATGTAAAAGCAATTTGTCTACAAAAGTCCCAAATGGCCCAGGCAAACATCTCTGCCACTCTTTTCCAAGCAGTGTCCATCCCTCCTCCCAGCTATACTCTAAGGTATTCAGTCTCTAATGGACCTGGATTCTCAGTGAGTGACGAAAACCTCCCTTGCCATGCACAGAGGCAGAAGAAGTGTGGATGCTAAGGCCAGTGCTGGTCAGACCTGATCCACTCAGATATACGGCATTTCCCAGCCTGGAGAAAGCCTGGCTAGCCCTGGAACCTGGGCACTGCTGTGGCTGCAGTATCCAAGCACTGCTGGGCCAGTGGGGGAACAATTTTCCAATGGGAGCTGTGGGATAGGGTTGAGTGAACAGTCTGCACCATGAGTCACTGGCACCCATGGGGACACAGCTCAGTGTGAGGCAGTGGGGGACAGCCCAGGTGACATCAGAACAAACAGGGAGCTGGAGAACTCTGTGTGGAAACTGTTTTCCAGGTAATTTGGGTTTGTTATTCCTCCGTGCAGCTATCTGCCCAGAGCCACCCTGCCAGTGTAAAACACATACCATAGCACATTGCATGGAAAACTCATCCTGCCACCATCCTATTCCCCTGGGACACTGCAGCAAGGGCACCACTATGGCACAGGATGCTGGAATCAATCACAGTCAGCCACATGTGGCTGCTGCAGTGGTTTTACAGAAGCAGCCCACAAAACTGCATCCTCCCACCCACAATGCTCGTGGGGTGTCTGGCAGGATCAGTGGCCACCCTGTGTTGAGAGCAAACCCTTCTGCACTGGCATTACATAGGGTGCTTCATTCTGCTCCAGGAAGTGGCATTTAATTACCCAGCCTCCTGGTAGTAAATAGGTTTCCAACACATTACAAAAGGCTGTATTACTTTTTTTTATCCCCAGCCTTGCTCATGCTCTGCGCCGGTGAGCTCATCCCCAGGGAATACCGTCTCCAAAATAGATTCACTCCCTTGTTGGAAATAATCAAATGGGAATCCAAGCTGCTGAGCCCAAGCCCAATTCCTCCCTTTGTTCTGGGGCTCTGGCAGCGAAGGGGTTCGGAGCAGGGTGACAGGAACTCGCCTTCTTTTAATTGACCTCTGATGATGAAACAATCAACCAAACGATTTAGAAATGTGCATCCAGTGAGATCATCAGGAAAACTTCTCCACAAAGGGGCCTGGGGAAAGGAAGGTGCAGTAATCCACCTGCCCCAGCCGCCTCGGCAGGCCTCACTGCATGGCACAACGTGGCACAGCATGGCATGGTGTGTCACAGCCACTCGGTGCCTCTTGGGCTAGCTTGCTGTGGCTTCATGCCAGAATCTGCCTCACTAGGTCTGACATGGGGAAAGAGTACAGCTAGACCTGTCCCAGTAAGGACATCTGCTCCCATGGGACATCTACCCT